GGGGGGGGGGGCAGGAATGCTGAGAAGGCCACACCTCTAAACCCAGGAGCACAGTGACTGCTCAAGACTAAGGCGTAATGTTGAATCACTGTGTTGTATACTTGAAACTAATATAACATTGTATGTCAACTATAATTAATTTTTTAAACCTTAGCTTATTCTATATAGAAATAACATAAATAGTGGATGGGGGAGAAAAAAAAACAGGGCATACCCCCTACTCGCCTCCCACCACCAGACTAAAAAGCAGAGGTAACAAGAAACAGATGTGTGTGCCCCTGGGCGACAACAGTGGACAGAGAACCTGGCCAAGTTCCCGTGCAAAGAAAAGACATGGAATTGAAGTCCAAGCAAACACCGAGGAAAGCTCTCTGGATAATCAGCTCCCCCCCAAAAACAAGGAAACAGGAGAGGACCCGGAAGCCTTTGGTGTGCTGAGGGTACCCCAAAGCAACACTGTGTTCAGTACCTCTCGGGGACGGAAGGAGAAGACAGGCCATTGGCAGGAGACAGAAGCCCTGAGCAACCCCATCAGCTGAGTTAATGGGATTAACACGTGCAGGACAGCCATCTGCTAGAGCGGAGTGCACGTTCTTTTCAGGGGCACATGGCATTTCCACCAGGGTGGGCCGTAAAATATCACCACCAGGTGATACTCATCCTAGGGATAGAAACCTGCCCCAAGTTTGAAAATAAAAATAATTCCGTATGTCAACAGATCAAAGAAAAAAAAGTATATAATAATCTCGACAAATACAGATGTTTTTACAAAGCACTATTTGTAATGTATCATAGTTCTCTGTCCACAAAAAAGGAAGACTTAGGTATAAATCTAAGACAATATATGAAGGACTATATATTCAAAATTCAGTGGTGTGAAAATATGACTACAGCATAACATTGAATGAAAAAAGGTAAGGTAGAAAATAGCATGTGCTATATGGTCAGACTTTCATAAAATAAACTCACACCAAGTACTTTTCCACAGAGGAAAGGGCTAAGATATAGTGAAGGCCTTTCTGAAACGTCCCCTTGGTTTCTCATTCTTAGCAAGACAATCACGACACGTTTGAAGGAAAACAGAACCGAAATTGAGATAAACGCTCTGCAACACTTCGCTGTCACTGATTACTGTCTGATGCACTTCAAGGAGTCTCCTTCGATCAGTTTCCCTGGAACCAGATCCACATGCTCCTAAAATCACTGATTGGCCATGAATTCTGCGGTCAAACGGGTTTGGAAAGCATTAATGTAATAAATTGGCTTCTTGGTGGCAGAGCTAATTTGGATGGTCTGTATACTGGTGTCAGTCGGGATCTTCAGGGGGTATTGTTTGCAGTTTCCCAAATTTATCTGAATGTAGGACTTGCGGAGGGAGGAGAGTGAGTGAGAACGCGGCAAGAGGAGAGGGGAGAGAGTTGTTTGGGCTGACCCGACCTTTGAAAGCAGGTTACTGACATCATCTTTTGCTTCTAAATACTTCAGTGTGTACCTCCCAGGAATAAAGGACATTCTACTAAACCACAATACCATTGTCTCATCAAAGAAAGTAAGATTATTTACCTAATAGCATCCACTATCTAGTCCAAATATAAAATTCCCCAGTTTTCTCAAAATAAATGTGTATTGTACAGCCAGCTTTTCAAGGTTCTCATGTTACGTTTGATTATTTCCTTTTAATATAAAACCACAGCCTGCTTTTTTTATGACGCCCTCCCCCCCAGGATACTAGTCCCATTGAATTGTAGAAACCCCACGTTTTGTTGTTTTTTTCTCCATGGTATTTATTACTCAGCTCTTCCCCTAGTCCGTGCATTTCCTGTAGTGTCACTTACACGTGATGGCTTAATTACAGTAAAGATTTTGGGGAGAATATGTCATCTGTGGTGCTGCATTCCTCATCTTGCATCACATCAGGAAACATGCAATGTCAGGTCATCCCACCTAAGGATTTCTTTTCGAAGTTTCTTGACTTTAATGCCGAGTACAGAGGGCCTATTCAAAGAGCCACATTAACAGCACAAAGTCTGGCACCTCAGGAGCCTAGGTGGCTGGGAATCGGCATCACACCCCATTCCCTGTAATCACAATGTGCACACATTTTTTCCATCTACATATCCTTTGCATAAACTATTTAAAGTTTCATTTGCTACAAATAGTCCTCTTTCAGACCATCTCACCATGTGATGTATGCTTTAAAATAGGAGGAAGGCGCACGATTCCTACCTCGGTCCTGGAGGCTGGCTCTCAGCGCTCTCTCCAGCTGCTCCTCCTCGCTCAGTCCTGCCGTGTATGCGTCATAGTTCCTGGGCACGTCTTCCTGGAACCCTGGCCTTCCCTGTGGGTAATAATCCTGAAATCCAGTGTAGCCTATGGGCACAGTGAGGTTACAGAACAATGTCATGGACTGTTCTTTTCATACGTCCTATTTTGTAAGCAGAGACCATGTAATTCATGTCATTATTCTGAGTATAGTAATCATCCTCAAGATATGAAAAGAAGACAAGTGGAGAATTCCTGCAGGGGTGGGCAATGACTGTCTTGTCCCTCTAGTATCCACAGAGCTCAATGTGGGGCCGGACAAGAGCAAGTCCTTATGGGGAGGAAGAAGATACGGGTTTAGAAGGTAGTCGGTGGCACTGGGGAGGGGAGTGAGCTAATGAGATATAAATGAACTCTTTCACTCAGAGCTACTTAATACTTGGAGTGCTTGCAGTGAAGTCCTGACTGGAGTAGAGGGAATGGTTGAAATGACAGCTGACAAAGCCTTACTACCCAGTGGCTCTGTGTAATGAGAGACAGGCCAACGTTTAATACACATACATATACTGCAGGATTTCTGTGCTGGGCATGACGCTTCAGGCAGTAATAAGTATGTTGAGATATACGAGCCAATGCCTCTGTAATTATAATTCCATGTCAAAAATCACAGTTTCTATTTACAGTACTTTTAAGAAATCAGTTACCAGGTAAAATGAGAGAAGAGACACCTGGTCATTAAACAATGCTTAAGTACCAACCAGATACCACATTAATAAAGGTCAATGACCGAGCAAAGGTCACTTCTGCAGGGAATTCCCATCACTCTTTAAAGTCGGCTTGGTTTACTCCTTAATTTTCTTTAATCGCCCACTTTTATGGAATTTGCTTGGAAGAGATTTTCCCCCCATAGGAAATTACCAATCTAATTCTGGTGTGATGGGAGAGAAGCAATAGTGTGTTTAATTTTTCCCCTTTTTTTATAGCCTTTGAAGATGTGTTTCAAATGTTTAATTCATGTGCTTTTTGCTGTTGATGAAAATTTCTACCTTTTACTATGAATCTTATGTCATGTGTCACCATGTCAACCCACATTATAGTACATGCCTGGGTTTAAGGTTCTTATTGCTTTAATAAGACTATAGAAAAAACAACCACCTCACAATCAAGCCAAAAGGAGGAACACTACAGGGCAGAACCTGGTAATGTTCAGAATTTTTTTGATAACTGGTGCTGAAGCTATTTTAAAATTTACTTTTGTGTTGGTTGTAAATACAAGGCTTTCCTAATATACAAGACTAAGGCAGGGGAAGTTTATTTCCCATAAGAATTTTCAGGCACACTAAAAGTCTTTGTTTTCATATAAACACTGAAATGATACTAATAGTTTCAGCTGACATTCTAATGTAATTATATGTGTTTATAAAAATATTTGTTATGTAAAGTATTTGTGTCTGTTGGTTATGTTTTTATAGCACCTTTATTGGAATATAATTGACATCCTATACAATTCATCAATTTAAAGTATATAACTCAGTGGCTTTTAGTATATTCATAGAGTTGTACCATCACCCCCACAATCAATTCTAGAATATTTTTATCACCCACCCAAAAGAAACCTGTAGCCTTTAGCTATCACTTCCCCTCAGTAACTCTCCCCCGCCACTATCCCTCCCAGCCCTAAGTAACCACTAACCTACTTCCTGTTTCTATAGCTATGCCTATTCTGGACAATTATATAAACTGAGTCATATACTATGTAGTATTTTGTGTCTGGTTTATTTCACTGAGCACAATGTTTTCAAGGTTAACCCATGTTGTAGCACGAATCAGCACTTCATTCCTTTTCATAGCCCAATAATATTCCATTGTATGGATATACCACAATTGGTTTATTCATTCATCAGTTGGCAAACATTTGGGTTACTTCCACCTTTTAGCTATTGTGATTAATACTGCTATAAACATTTGTGTACAGGTTTTTGTGTGGATGTATGTTTTCACTTCTCTTGGGTACATACCTGGGAGTGGAACTGCTAGGTCACATGGCCATTCTGATTAACCACTTGAAACGGTCAGAATGTTTTCCAAAGTGGCTGCACCATTTTACATCCACACAGCAATGGATATGGGTTCAGAAGTATCCGAGTCCTTGCCAACATTTGCTATTATTTGTTATTTTAATTATGGCCATCCTAGGGGGTATGAACTGATACCTCACTATGGTTTTGATAACTAGTGATGTAGAACATCATGTGCTTATTGGCCGTTTGTGTATCTTATTTATTTATTTATTTATTTATTTATTTTTTAAATATATCTTTATTGATTTCAGAGAGAGGAAAGGAGAGGGAGAGAGAGAGCTAGAAACATCAATGATGACAGAGTCATTGACCTGCTGCAGCCCGAAACCCGGGCATGTGCCCTGACCGGGAATAGAACCCTGATCGCCTGGATCCTAGGTCGACACTTAACCGCTGAGCTACGCTCGGCCGGGCACGTTTGTGTATCTTCTTTAAAGAATGTCTATTCGAAGCCTTTGTCCACTCTTACTGATTAATATCATATTCTTTGATCTTGGTACTATTTTACTGAATGTCCTTGAAAATCACAAAAATGAGTGATTTAAATAAAAATAAAATTGTTCAGGATTTGGGGGAAGGGGCTAATTCTGACAAGCCTTGCTCCTTATGTAGTATAAATTAGTGAGAATTTACTACCTACCTTCAATAACCCAACTTCCACATTCTCTCTCACGTTTCCCATGTCAGAATATAAACATTATATTTAGAAAACAGGAGAAGACTAGAAGTAAATTTCCCAAATCCTCACAGTGATTTAGGGCTGAAGTAGGATCTGGAGACAATTTTAAATATGAATGCCCTTCCTCATTGGTCTCTACTCAATAGAACTATAAAAAACATTCAGCCCCCACTGCTGTGGGAAACACCCACCAGTGAGTAATATCGAGGGGAAAGGAGACTGCGTCACGGCTACAAATCTTGCTTTTACACTTCACCCCCACACACACATATACAACTTCCATATAAGGACAAATGGTCAAAACACAATATATCTACTTCACAAAGAACAAAAGAGAGGGGCAATCGTTCTAAAACACACTAGAATATTTATGGACAAGTCACTGAATACCATGGGATGCTTCAGCAATCCCCCACTAAGAGACTGTCCAATTCCCTAAGAGTGGCAATTATTTTATTGCAACAAACATGCATATTGGGCACTTTCCCATGTGGCTTATTACACTTTCAACCCCCTACGGAAAGTCATTCTGTTGCAGACGGGTCTAAACAGCATTTCTATCTATCGACCCTCCACATGCTCAGCTAATTCAAAATCCAAAATAACCGAAAAGCTTGAAATACGCATCTTACCAGACACCAGAAATACCACATACATCTATAGAGTTTTAATTTCCAGACAAGTCTGCTATAATTTGAAGCAACATTTTCTTGATATAGAAAAACATTTTTCTTCCTGTTATTTCCTTTCAAAAACAGCAACCCAGCCTTAATGAAATAAAGTCTACAACTCTAAACATCTGAATGTTATAAAATCTAATTTGGTACTTGTCAGACAAAACATGGGGAGAGAGAAAGAGAAAGTTTTAGTGCCTTAAGTCGAAAGGATTCGTGTGGTTAAAGGTTCTATATCATCAGTCATAAATCATCAACAAGACCAAAAATCCCATTCATATGTTATAATGAGAACAGGTCTCCTAGGAGCGAAAATCTTCTACAGCTGTTCTGCTGGCCCAGTCAGATATTTTTAAATCTTCATAATAAACATGGCTGGAAAAACCTAACAATCAAACACTTAAAATGAGTAAGTTTAAATTATATCCAGCGATGAATGCTAGGTTAATATTCTTTTGTAGCTATAGACTTGGGCTCGGCAGTAAGAGAAATTCTGGTTATCATTATTCCATTAACTACTCCTCCATCTGTTCCTTATGCACATACCAGGACTTCATGGCAAAAGAGATGAAGAACCACCACCAAGATTAGGAAAATTGGTAGCAGCTTTTTAAACATTCATGAGGTTCTCTGACCTATAAAGACTTCTCCAGCTAAGGACGACCGTAGTAAGAATAAATCATTGCTTCTAAGAGATACGCATGCTCTCATAAAAGTTCCCTGATGACCATTAGCACGGCCACCTGTGTTCTGTAGCTCTGCCTTTGAAGATATCCAATCCCTTCATAGGAAGGTGTATGGCGATCACACAGGGAATAAAGAGAAAGGTAAAGGGGCTTCTATTTTTGCCTTTAATTCCCAGCTCTGTGTGTCTGCTGTGCTTACGCCTCTTCCATGTGAAGCACAAAAGAGGCAAGTCTCCCACCTTTTGTTTTCAGTAAGTGCAATAAAAAGGGGAGGGAGAGACAATGAGGGCAACTGCCCTGGTTTGGGAGGTTACATCAGCAGAATGCAGCGGGTGCTAGGAATCAGTGGCCTGCATTTTCAGTCCTGGTTCTATCACCAAAAGCCTGTTTGACTTCAGCCAAATTACTTAACATTTCTAGCCCTCCCTTTCCCAGCTGTCACACAAGGTACTGGGACTAGTAATCTACGGCAGTTCCTGCCATGCCTGTGCACAGGCATGTTCTTATTCTTTTTGTCCATAGTAACATTCCTGTTTCTTTGGAGAATTTTTAAAAATGAACCAGGAGAGAAGCCCTCTTTCTCCTCTAGCAACTTCAAGGTGTTAGAGGCCACGTCACCTCTCCAGTGGGGAGACTAAAGTCATTGGGAAGAGAGAAATGACAGGGGATGGAGAACCAGAACCAGAGTGGTCTTCCCATCCAGCCCAGTTCTTCCTGGTCATTAGGCCAATAGAGCCCTGTTATACTTAAGTTAGCACAAACTGTTCTCCATACCCAACAACCAAACCCCCCAATGCTCTTCCAAATGAACATACAGTTGACCCCTGATCAGGGACACTGACCCTCCCCTATGTAGTCAAAAACCTGCATATAATGTCTGACTCTCCCAAAACTTAACTACTAATAGCCTACTGCTGACTAGAAGCCTTACTACTAACATAAAGAGCTGATGAACACATATTTTGGATGTTATACGTATTATATACTGTATTCTTTCAATAAACTAAGAGAGAAGAAAATGTTATTAAGAAAATACTGACGAAGGGAAAATACAGTTATAGAACTGTATGTATTTATTGAAAAAAAAATCCATGCATAAGTGGACCTGCGCAGTTCAAACCTGCAAAACTTAAGGATCAACTGTATTTAGCAGCTGTGTCAATAACTAATCATCACATTTCCTCTCTTCAGGTGGGTCCAGGTGACAGTGGCAGGTGAGCTGAAACTGCCCAGCAACTGTTTCTCTCTGCACAGGCCGCGTTGCTAGGAGTTTATGCGTGCACATCACTAGCTCTGGAAGCCTCAGGAGTGCAGCCTCTTTCTTGGGACAGCGACAGTCTCCACCTCTGGTTCCCAAACCTAGGTAACTCCCATCACATAAGCCTATGATTGTCATTACTGATCCCACTAGAACCACCTGGGAAGCTTTTAAAAAGGACTCTGAGTCCCTGTCTCCATCCCTGTTCAGACTCAGATGATCTGGGGTGAATTCCAGGCATGGACTTGTAAAAGCTGCTTGGCTGATTCATAAAGACAGCCAGGCTTGATGTTCCAGAGCCCAGTCTTCAGAACTACATCACAAACACAGCTTGAGTATAACTACAACAGGATCACTCTACTGATTCAATCCTTCAGTGGCACCACAACACATTCCAGATAATTCCAAACAGGTCTTTTCATAAAGGCCTGGAGAGCCCTTTCTGCCGTTGCTTTCCTTAACTTCCACTCACTGATTGTGACCCAGAACTCTCTGGGTAGCCCCCAGGAACTGCAGCCCCTGTCCCTCCCAGGCTGAGCACTGAAAACACTACTCTATTAAGCCACATGTGCACAGGTGAAATTCCATGAGACCAGGCCAAGAATGAACAAGAGCTATAAGCTGAACGGCTCCTGGCTCTCGGGCAGGGCTGGGATGAGAGTCCTTGCTGAACAAAGGGCATTCAGGAGAGATCTCAGGGAGAACACCTCAGTAGCAGTACAGAATTAACTCTGAAAAAAATTACTTTAGTAGACCCTCCTCAATAATTTTAAAACAAGCTACAGCAGTTTTCAATGGGCACAACTATAAGACACCCAGTGCTTCCGCGGCCCATGGCTCCTTTAAGACCCGCTGCTGCTACTGGTCCAGGATATTATGGGGCAGCCTCCCCAGGCTGGAATGTCAGGCCTTAGCCTAAAACAGGTCACATGCTTTGACTGCAAGTCCTTTCTACCTATTCACACAGACACAGAAAGTCACACGGTATTAACTACCAGAGGAGTGCCTATCTTGGGGTAAGCAGGGTTCTTTGTGAATGAGTTGGGGTGGGCTAGCGAGAACTGGGCATCTGAGACTGACTCCATTACTGAGCCAGCGGTACATTCTCTTAGGCTGAGAATAAAGGGACCTGGGTCTAGTGTGACTCTTATCGTGTCTGGGAGACCTCATACCAATTGCACAATGTTTTCATGTCACTCTTATCTCCTTTCCTGGTTTTCCCTAGCAACCCACCCAGATGAGCTCCCTGGGGTACCCCTCCATGGAGCTTTCAGGCGTGTGAGAGGCACAATTTCATAACGTGTAAGCTACTTATAACAGCATAAACTAGCATTAACTTAAAGTGGCTCCACAGTGGCAAACAATATAATTTAAGTAAGTTAAAGTTTACTAAATAAAATAAAGCACTTACCTGAATTATTAAAGTAGTATTGCTGTCGTGGGTAACCATGATTGGAGGAAAAAATGCCTAAATGTGAAGGAAACAAGCATTTTAATAGCAGCAATAAGGCTTGTTTTACACCCCCCCGTTATTGAGGTATAACTAAGAAATGAAAACTTGTATATGTCTAGGTTGTACAATGTGGTGTTTTTTTTAAAAGTTGCTCATGTGATGATTTAATATACACATACATTAAGAAATGATTACCACAATCAAGTTAATTATCACATCCATCACCTCACAGCTACCATATTCCTAGTATGTGTGAGAATTCTTAAGGTCTACACACTCAGTAAATTTCAGGTAAAGACACAGTATTAACTACAGTGAAGACGCTGCGCCTTAGATCCTCAGAACTTACTCATCTTATAGCTGGAAGTTTGTACCTTCTAACCAACATCTCCCCACTTCCCCAGCCTCTGGCTACTACTGTTCTACTCTCTGGCTCTATGAGTTTGACTGCTTTAGATTCCACATACAGGTAAGGTCATACAGAGTTTGTCTTTCTCTGTCTCGCTTATTTCACTTAGTGTAAAGTCCAGTCATCCACGTTCATCTATTTTGTTGCAAATAACAGGATTTTCTTCCTTTTATGGCTGAATAATATTCATTGTGTAGATATATATCATTGTATATGTAAAGTTATATCATTGTGTGCACATGTATCTCACATATATGTAAGATATCTATCTCTCTATCTATTTATCTCTCTATCTACCTAAATATATAGCTCACAGCTTCTTTATTCATTCATGCATCAACAGACCCTTGGCTATTGTGAATAACACTAAAATGAACACGAGAGTGAAGATAGCTCTTTGAGATAATGATTCATCTCCTTTGGATATACTCTCAGAGGTAGAATTGCTGGATCATAGGGTAGTTCTGTTTTTAATTTTTTTAAGAACCTCCATACTCTTTTTCCATAATAGTTATATGTACCTATTTACAACACCCACCAATGGCGTAACAGGTTCCCCTTTCTCCACATCCTCACCACACTTATCTCTTGTCTTTTGATAATAGCCATCCTAACACTTCCTGATTTCAAACTAGATTACAAAGCTCTAATAATCAAAACAGTGTGGTACTCGCATAAAAACAGACATGTGGACCAATGGAACAGAATAGCCATAAGGCTTTAATTGCCAATCTTTCCAGTTAGGAGGTTCTTTATAAGAAACTCCAAGGTCATTTCAAGTGATTTCTAAATCATTGTAAAAATAAACTCTCTTTTGTTTGGGGCTAGCCCTAGAACCTGTGGGGGACAATGAAACCCTTACTTAACCTCTGAAGTTCCTTAAAGGTTCCTGTTGATGGTCTTTGCCTTCCAAGGTACCAAGCTTGGGCTTCGAGACCTCTGCACAAGTGCAGATGCTCTGGCTATAGAGAGAACTTGCCCCCAACAAGACTGTTAGGAGAGCCATGCTCCTTACCCTTCCTAAAGGGCTTTCCCTTTCTTGTCCTTAAAAGGGCAGTAGGACAGGCAAGTCAGCACTGCAGAAGGAAGGGAGAGAGGGAGGAGGCACAGGATACAACTTCGTGATGCTCCTCTCCCAGGAGTGAGACAGCAGCCGGCACGTGCCTGGCTATTCTCCATAGGTTCCTGTGTCACCTCAACTCCCAGGTCACTCTAGAGCTCTCTCCAGCTTTCCCCCAAAAAAGGCACAGAGACTGCAGGCTATTTGTAAATAGCACTGGATGTTTGTTTCGGTTTGTATTTTCTATTGTATTACTTTGAAATCAGAATGATGTAAAAATAAGTCTCCATAGAAAAAAGGCAAGGTTTTAAGAAGGAAAGCTGAGAATTTAAATATTATAATTGCAGGGGGAAGTCATCTTTACACACAAAATACTTGCCTACATTTTGTAATGTGTGCAAAAAGCATTACTAACCACTTAATCTTCACACACACGCAAAAATGAAACAAAACATTAAACTCCTGAGAATCTTTTTTTTTTCTTTTATCCGCATTGAGAGCATTTGAGCAACAAAGCTCATTACTAGATTTCCATTATTAAGTTGCATCAAAACTAATAAAAGTGGACATTTTCAATAAATGAAGCTTTTTGTTTCCTTCAAATTGATTCTCAGTGAATCCTCCAAGCACACACACTGGAAACACAGTGATGAGCAAACACAGGGAAATGGAATCTGCTTAGATGCAGCACAGCCTGTGAAAATCATCCAGAAGTGAGCACAACCTGCTAATAGAGGCAACGGCGCGAGCCCAGAAAGCTCTCTAATACCATGAATATTACATGGTTCTTCAGAACGCGAGCCATTGCCACAAACTGTGAAAACAAATTATTTGTGGTTCAAGAAAAGGTAAAATAGTCTCAGAAGATTTCCCATGAATAAAAGATGAAATATTGGAACTCTCATGGCCTTTAAGACAAGTGTTTGCAAAATAGTGTCCCTAAAAGTCAGAACCAGTGTAGATTTTAAATTGAGGTCTAAAAAAATTCGTATATTTCTAAATAAAATAAACTGTTTTCACTGAGAATCAATTTGAAGGAAACAAAAAGCAAAAAAAAAATTTTTTTTAATTAAAAAGCAGGAGCCAAGCTTTAAGCAATAACAGCCTTGGCCTGGTCCTGCGTGACTCTCTCTCTCCTGCCAAGAACCTAGTGGTCACTGAATTCTTTCAGGCACTGGCCTTGCACTTCAGCACAGGTTTTTCTTTTTCAACTCTGCCTTGCACATATATGAACTCATGGAATATTGGAGGATGATGCATTACTTTAAGCCCACATTAGTCTGTGCATTTTCAAGGAAGCCGTGGTTTCCTGAGTAGCATTAATGCTGAGGGTTTACATATACGCCACTACTTGTCCCTTAAGGAAGCCTCAGGTTTAGGGTTTGCAGCCCCTCTGGAGCAGTGTGAGGAGCTGTACCAGGCGTTACACTTCTCGGTTTAGGAAGATACTATTAGGAATTCTTAAGCATAACCACGAGGTAACTTGAGGCTGCTTCCATCCCCATTAAAATTAAGGTGAACTTCCAACTTGTCATGCTGGAGGTGCTTGGTTCTGTACCTGCACAGGTTTCCATGACTTTCTTCAGGGGCCCGTGAGTGTACAGGAGTCCAACAAGAATCCCGGCCAGATGCCCAGCGAAGGAGGTCCTAGGAGAGAAGCAGACCTGCTGTGAGCATGCTCTGCTGCCGATTACAGGCAGCCGGTCTCTCTTACCCAGAGCATGCCAATTAGTCACCGTCTGCAGGCTTGTTCCACATCATGTCTCTTACGCTGAGCAGCATTTAACTCAGTCCAGAGAACATTTCCTACCTTAGAAAGGGGGGAGGCAATAATAACAACCACCACATGCTTAAAATGCAGTCTCCCCCTAGACCAAGAGGAGGGGGCTGGCTCTTTCAGGGCACTGGAAGCATTTTGTCAACACAACCCATTATATTTCTTCTAGTTTTTTTTGAGGCTCTTATCACAGAATAAATGACATCAGTTTTCTCTGAATTAAATCTTGAATTATGCAGCCATTGGGAGGAAAGTGTCTATCTGTGCTTGCAGCAGAGCAGACAGCTGAGTTTTAATACATTATTGACCAGTGCAGCTGAGAGCAAGAGAAACGGCAGACAAGGTTGAGATGTCCACGTGGCCACCCTCAGTGTCACCACCTTCTAATGTCATCTTCATACATACCTATGAGTTATTCAGCAAAGTGACACAAAAATGTAAACCTTAGGCTCGGAATAGGAGTCAGGACATTAAACTGGTTCCACTCTTGTTAAGAGCATCTAAGACTGGCAATCACACGTGAATTCAAGGCGGGCCCCAGCTACATATATGCTGAATGAACAGAAGAATGAAAGAAAATCGGCCAGCAGGTCTCCCTGCCCCAGCTCTTGTCTTCCCAAACCCCACACTCCACCATCAGTGGCCCTCCTGAAATAGAGTGCGAGGCATGTCACTGCCACCCTGTGAAACCCAGACTTCTCTGCAGCCTGCAGCAAGGCCCTCCAACAGGTAGCCTTGCCCATCCCATCCCTTCCTCCACCCTTACTGTCCGCTAAATCCACCCTCCACCCACAGCCAGACCCCCAAGTGCTCACCGGCAACCACAAGGCTAAGCCAAACAGCACCCCTGTCACAAAAATCAGGCCCCAGCTGAAGAGTGGCTCTTTCCTCTCATGGCCTCCCTTCGCTATAGAACAGATCCAGCCTCTAGGTAGGAAACCTGTTTACAAACATGTTTTCCTGTCTGTCTCTCCCACAAACCCCCTAAGGAGAGTCTTATGCTAATTTAGAAGCTAAAAAAAACAAGCAAAAATGATCAAGTACATGAATACATTTCCCTGGTGTGGGGAAAGGCCCCCTCACTCCAGAACGGGGCACTTGAAAGTTATCAAGGAGCCAACGTAAACTCCAGGAGTATCATGATTTTTGTGTTTTCCACATCTATCACATACCTAGGACAGTGCCTGGCAGAGGACAGACGTTTCAATGTGTTGAATGAATGGTTGAGTGTCCCAGGATGGTTTCATCAAGACCATCGGTAGGCAAGTTCAAATCCCTAGATCTTCACTGAGCCATGGCAGTGACGAGGCTGACGTTCAGTCACCCACAAGGCCTAGAATCAAAGCCCATACACGTCGCCTACCACAGAGCAACCAATAGAGGAAAGAGGCCCTAGAGCACAGGCAAGACGGCAACAAGTAATTTCCATCGTCTCAGGGCTAGTGAGAGACTTGTTGGCGCCCAAGGAGAAGAGGAGGCAGGGGAGCCCTTCAGAGAAAAGAGGAAAGGAAGCCTTCTGTAGATAGGATGCCACTGGGGCTTGTCCCCATCAGCCAATTCAATCACGCCATTGCCCAAACAAGCCCCTGCATGTGCCACACACATTGAGAGCTGTGCGCGCGCACACATCCACACACACACACACAAGCATTCCTTCAGGAGAGCTATTATTTTCCTCAAATGTATCTACCTCCCAGGAGGTGTAACTTGATAATAAAAATACGGGATCAGACACTTGGTTTCCCATTTTCAGGGAAGAACAGCATGAACTAGGCTTCTCTTTAGCTTTTTAAAAAAATAAAATTAAATAGGGCTTATTTTATTCTACTTTTAGGCTAAATAATACACTCCAACTAGTTCTAGGAATGGCAAAGAAAGTGGTAGTTTGAGGGATACAAAAAAAAGGGCCAGAATCACTTTTTAAAAAAAAGGAGTAACCTCAATTTAACTGAAAAGAATAAAATAACATCAATATTTTGAAACTTTCTAAACCAATCTTTGTGGTGAATCATATAGTTATAAAAATAACTTGGAAGAAAATTTCAATTTAAAACCCTAACCTATCAAACAATCAATCTTGACTTTCATTTACAATTTAGAGTACAATACAGTTCAATGAATTTCTCATCTCTCCACATGGAACAGAAACTCTGGGCACTGGCTTTCATTCCAGATCTGGTAAAGACACAACTAAACTTCTTCCATGGCGAGATGGAGGGAGAGGAGACCTTGGAAACTCAGGGGTTTAATTCCACGCAGATGAAAACCACTCATCCTCCCGTGAAAGTCTCAGAAAATTCCTTTTTTCGTGACATCACAAGAAGTCCACTTCCACCGGCAACAGATAGGGACACAGGGGGCTCCCCACTGATAACAATTTCATTTCTATAAAGGTATTCTTTTTTAAAAAAAAATAAAAGTAGGAAGAGGTTATGAATTATTCAATCAAAACTGAGAATCTCTCAATATTTACACAATGAAAAAAGGAAGTATATGCTCATTTAATGAGGTATATTAACTTCCTTCATGCCACTGGTAACCATCTGACAAAGGAGCTCCCTTTGCCCTCGCCCTGCGAGAGGAAATGGACCTGCAGAGAGAAGATACAAATACAACTGGGGACTATCTTCTCCCCAGCAGCACTGGGATCAGGGCACTTCACACCTGCCTCTGGGGGTGCTGCAGAGGCACAGAGAGGTCCTGGGAAGAAGGTATTTGCATGCTCTAATCAGCGGCTGGGATCTACCTTCAAATGTAACAGCTTTAGAAACAGATTGTGTTATTATGATCATGATGATACATGCAAAACAGACATTTTGACGTTTGAGGTATCTGAGGAAACCTGTGTGTTCACAGCAGCCCTTCTGAAGGTGTGGGCTTCACTCTGTTCTCAGTTCTGCCTGGAGGGTGACACCTCAAGGGAAAGCCCTGCTCTTAGGAACAGCTTCCTCGAGACCTTACTAGGTCCTGGGCCAAGACCAAGGATTTGGTTACAGCCTGCCACCCTCAATCCTAAATCAGAGCAATTCCTCAGGGACAGAACTACCATATTCAACTTTATACTCATGACCACACCTGACGCAGTAAACGGCCTGGACCCTAACACTCCATAAATAACTAATGAATGAGTGGAGGAGTGGAATAAAAATGACACACAAAGGCACATATCTAACATACGTTACAACTGTATTATAAAAACACAAGTTGCACATGGTCACCAGTTAATAGTTGTATTAGTATCAAATTTCACTGGGAAGGGTAATAATTGAACATAAGCGCCCCCTTAGACAAGGTATGACATAAAACATGTGCTCAATTAATAAAGCAATAGCACTAAATGTACTATTACCCCCTAAAATTGGTCACTTAGAAGCTTTATTTCTTCTAATAGCTCAGTAGTGACTCCCTTTAGGAAATCCTAACAGCTACAATCGAATGCTGTCTGTGAGGGCAAGATCCAATCCCAGGGGCCAGACACATCACAGCTCTGTACAGCCACACAGGTTACGCGCTGCACACACCACCACGAGAAGGAAGATACGTTGTCCAGGGCCTCAGTAGTTCCACAAATACTGGAAACATCCAATATTCAAACTCAGGTCATCAAATCTCAACTTCAGAGTAGCATCAACGTAATTTCATTTTAATAGTGGACAAAACCTTAACCTAGTAGTTCTTAAACTTACTCAGGTTCTAAGCCCTTTAAATGTCTGATGAGAGCCATGGATCCTGTCCACAGAAAAACTACAGATACAAAATAGTTTTAAAGTTCACAGATGGCTTGCATTTCATCCATGGACCTCTCCTGAAATACCCTGACATGAAAATAATCATCAGGAACAGAAGAATTTCACATCAAGCACCAGATCTAAGTAGTTACATACGCAATCGGAAAACATTTTATTTGTCCTCAAATCCGAACACAGGGGCAGCCATTTACTTAGATTACTTAAGTTTATTAAGATGCCCAGCTTCTTTGCTGCGCCATTGCTCTATAATGGTATGACCTACTTCTAACTTCAATTTCCTTTTTGGCTAGAATCCCACTTTTAGTAATTCTTTCAGTCTAAGGTAAAGGGTAGAAAACTCTACTATTGTTTTTGTGTCCAAAAATGTCTATATTTCAGTTTCCTATTTTGATGATAAATGCAGGCTCTGCTGGTGCTGCTGAGAAACGTCAATCAGTCATTCCTCTGTTAGGCAATCTGTCTTTCCTCTCGGCTTTTAAGATTTCCTCTTTACTTTGTCACTGCACCACAATCATTCAGTTGTCGATTCATTTCATTTACCCTCCCTGACATTCGCTGTGCTTTTTCCATCTGAGGTCTCGTGTCCTCCTACAATTCTGAAAAACTGTAGAAAGCCATTATTTTTGCCCTGCGGACTTCAAGATATGCAGCATTTGCACTTCCCAACGCAGGCACTCACTGGGAGTTTACAGAAAAAGAAAAAAGAAGGAAAAAACGTGAAGCTAAAATCAAACCAACAATACTGTACGATGCTTCTAAGGGATAGTGATGGTGAAAAGGTAATTAAAGAATAAAACTAAGATTAAGATATGTCAGTCTTATCTCAAAGGTGGAAAAAAAAGAGAGTGGACTTCAGCTACGCAAACTACATGCAGGTATTAACACCAACACCCAGTGCTCTCTCCAATCCGATCCCGATCCCGATCCCACCAGCATAAGCAGGACCCCTCGGAGAGGCCATTTGTAAGGCTGAGCTACGTGATTATGCAACATGCTCCCGCCCTCGCGGGCCTGTGAGAGTCAAAGCTAACACTACGGCGGAAAGTTGCGACAAGCTGTAAGGGCCCTCCATTAAACGGCAAGATCTTTCCACAGCTGAAGGCGCTGCCCTCTCGGGCACA